ATATATTTGACCATAATATTATAAAATTGATTGATTACATCGACAAGCCATGATTCTAACCCCAATGGTTGTGATCTTAACAAATATTTAAGCCTTACATATCAATCTGAAACTATCTTAAATATTAAATAGAGTTTTAGCTTTCATTTATTGTCCATTTTCGGGGTAGCCTAATGGGATATGATGTATGCTTGGAAACAGAAGGACACAGAGGACACAGGTTCAATCTTGGTAAGGAGCATAAAAACTTTTAGGTTTTTCTTCGATGACTGATGTGTAAAGATGTATGGTAAGATGAATTTCGGAGCTTAGAGATGACACCCCGGTCACCGACCGGCCTGGACAGCTGGGTGCTAAGGATACTTGTCCAATAAACAAAATAAAGGTAAAAATATGAATATGAAAGCTAGGGTGTTCCCTCCAAGCGACGCGCAGGGTGTAGACCTCCATCCTGCGAAAAGTAAAATAAAGGTCAAAGCAAAGAAGACAAGATTAGCAAGTTTGAATATTGGGACACTTAAAGGTAAGACAAGAGAATTGGCATCAATGTTGAACAAGAGAAAAGACATAACGTGCATCAAGAGACGAAATGGAAAGGTCAGAAGACTTTAATGATTGAAGATGGGTATTAATTGTACTATAATGAATTGTTAGCAATAGGAACGGTGTTCATCATTCTCAGTCAAGATCTAACCTCCTCAGATAGAAGTCTATAGGATCTCTGATAGACTAAAATAAAACTCTGCATTGGTTAATCAATACTACACATTCTTTCAATATATGCTCCTCATACGGGTTGCAAAGAAGAGAAAGCTGACTAGAGCTATCCTTGATGAAGCGATAATGGAAATCCCTAAGGATCACTTAGTTATAATAGGGATTTAAATGCACATGTTGAAAAGCAAGAGGCAGCTACAAAGAGCATTATGGTGGTTTTGGATATGGAGAAAGAAATAATGAACGCAAGTACTGAAATTTGCGCAAGCCTTTGACCTTGCCTTAACTAACACCTACTATAAGAAAAAGGACAGTTTAAAAACATAGAAAGTGGTACAAGGAAAACACAGAGAGATTACATGCTAATCTCTCGCAGAAGATTAAAAGATGTAATAGACTGCAAAGTCATCCCAGGAGAAGATATAGCCGCGCAACACAAGCTACTAGTCATGGATTTACACATCACAAATAAATTCACTAAAAACAAGATAAAACTGGAACCATGCATCAAAGGGGGTAAATTAAAAACAATGACAGATGCCTTTGCAATAAATGCAAACATTGAAACAATAGATTCCTTACAAGTCAGTGAAAAAATGTGGATACACCTTTCATCTAGATTAATAGACACTGCCAAATCTACACTAGCCTTGACAAGGGGAGGTAACAAATCATACAAAGAACTATGGTGGTGGAATAAAGAGGTACAAACCACTATACAGGAGAAAAAAGCCCTTTATAAAATATGGTAAAACCAAGATGACAAGACAATATAAAAAAATCCAAAAAAATAGCTATAAAGGCGGTGGCTAGTGCCAAATCTATGGCATACGATGATATGTATGAAGAACTACATACCAAAGAAGGGCAAAATAAAATATACAGATTAGCCAAACAGCGAGAAAAGAATTCTAGGGATATAAACGGAGTTCCGAATGTAATCATAAACAAAGATGGGAAATTGATAATAAAGGAAAAAGAAATAATGAATAGATGGAAAGAATATTTTCAGGAGCTTCTCAACTTTAATCCCCACATACTACATCTAGATGAACACTCCCCATGTCAAAACCTTATACAACCAATAATAGAACAAAAAATAATCACATGCCTCAAGCATATGAAAAACAACAAAGCTGGGGGTCCAGATGATATTCCAATAGAAAGTTTTAAAGCACTAGGAGATGATGGAATACATTTCCTCACAAATCTATACAATAAAATACTTGGAAATGAAGAGGTTTCTCATAAATGGAGGCAGAGCTATCTAGTTCCTATCTTCAAAAATAAAGGGGATCCACACAATTGTCAAATTACAGGGGCATAAAACTAATGTCACACAGTCTAAAACTTTACGAAAAAATTATAGAAAAAAGATTAAGAGACATAATTGAAATAGGAGAGATTCAGTTTGGCTTTATGCCTGGTAGATCAACAACTGCAATTAGGCAAATGAGTGAAAAATACAGGGAAAAGAACAAAAAGCTACACATGGTTTTTCTCGATCAAGAAAAAGCCTTTGATAGAATCCCAAGTAAACTTATCTGGTAGGCGCTACGCCACAAAAGGTTCCCGAAAAATATATAAGAATAATACAGGATATGTATATGGGCCATACAACAATGGTCCGTAGCTCAACAGGTACTTCAGCAGGCTTCACAATAGCCGAAGGAGTTCATCAAGGGTCGGCTCTCAGCCCACTTCTCTTCATTATAGATGTTATAAATGAATGGCAGATATCGACAATGGAAAGCTGCAAATATTTGGACTTCACTATACAAACAAACGGCACAATAGAAAAAGAGATAAAGAGTAAAATTAATCAAGGGTGGTTAAAGTGGAGATCTTTATTTGACAAAAGAATCCCATACAAATTAAAGGGAAAAATTTACAGTTCCATAGTACAACCAACTATTCTATATAGTTCGGAAACATAACCAACCAAGGAATCAGACGAGAGAAGTCTACAAACTATGGATATGAGAATGCTGAGGATGATTGCTGGGATAACAAGAAAGGATAAAGTGCGCAGTACAAGAAAACTAAGTAGTTTAAAGGTAGTGCCCATTAAGACTAAGTTTATGTTAAACAGACTTAGGTGGTATGGGCATACAATGAGAAGGCCTATGAACTACAGGAAGGTTGAGAGTTTGGAAGTGATAAAAGGAAGGCCAAAACTTCAATGGGGCCATAAAGTTAGAGCCAATATAAAGAAGTATAAATTAGATAAAAGAGATTGTATGAATAACATAAAGTGGAGAGAGATGTTGAAGGAACTTACCACCAGAAAAGGTGAAAGCTAAAGCGAAAAATTTAATTTAATATAACCTAATAATTTAAAGTGAAAATATTGCAATTTTCGCGTCAAAAACATGTCATAACAAATAAAAATATTATGTCTATTCATTAATTCGATTACGATCTTTTCTCTAGAAATTTACATCAGGCCAAATATGCGCTCTGGCATTTGAATGTGGAAGTGAAAAAATAATATTACCTATTTTTCAAAATTTGGGGCATTGTTTCGTGATCTAAATTTGATATTATTTTGTTCGATGAATATATAATAAATTCTGAAATATATCATCTAATTCGATATCTTTAATAAAAAATTAATGTAAGCCTCGGCCAACTCGTTTTCAATAATAATTTTAATATTGAATTGGTATTTTTTGGGGATAAAAATAGAATTTAACAAATAAGCAATTTTAATAAAGTCTTTCAAGAGCCTATTAATGATAGCCATTTTGTTAGTATATTTTGAAGAAGTTCTGACCATTTAATATCTTGAGAATAGATAATTTTCCTTAAAACGGACCCTGTTTGTGGATCAGCTGAATTCAGCGTAAAATTTCATAACCATTTCTATGTTTATAGGTAATGAAGTCCCTTTCTTCATGCATTTTGAATTATATTCACACTCGTGTCATGAGCACAAAAGTGTTGCATTCTATTGGAAAGGGTTAGAATTATCAAGGTTCTACACAAGCATAAATGCAATAGCGTTCGATTTCTCTGTCCGATGGAATTTTTTTTAGAATATATTTGAAATACCATTTTCAAGAAATGTATGATTTTTCTTCAAATCCTGTCAGATGGGCTTCTGAATCAGGACCTAAGATATTTTATGCTATATTTGAGGCATTTGTTCTTCCATATATTACTTTCTGATCTATTTTTGAATTATATAAGAGAATATGAGCAATGTGTAAATAAATAATTAAGCTAATGTTTTGTCATTTGGGTAAAAATGGTTTAATTTTATTTGATGATCACTTATTTTTTAAATTGGACACCTGTTTGCCTTGTTAAATGTTTTTTTTACATGACTACTCTATGGCTTATATCAAATTTTATATCGCATACTATACAATTTGTATTTCAACAATTTTCTTTATTGTGTAATCAATGAATAAGTGGAATTCTAGGTATTTAGATGTTGCGATTTAATTTTTTTTTGTTATTTAATATTTTTCTTTAAATCTCTATAATTTTTATATAATTAAAATTAGGAGAAAATTGTACTTCATTAATCATATATTATTAAGATATTGTAAAATTGTAAAAACCTAAAAAAATACAAAATACTTTAAATTTCTAAAATATTATTTTATATAAAATGCTTACTTCACATATGAATCAGAAGATGTAATTATATGATTTATTAGTGTTAAACGTCTCAATATGAGCGACTAACGCTATATTTACGCCAGAGAAATATTGGCAGAGCCTCGAGATTTCGTTAATAGATAGCCAAACCCTTGTACTATCTATTAACAAAATTTTTAAGCTTGCATAAAATAATTTTGGATAAAAGATTGAGTTAGACATTTTTAAAATCGGCTCAGAGCCGTTTAATGACACTATGATTTGTTATAATAATTCATTTTAAAATTAAAAAAAAATTAAATATTATATTAAATTAAAAAATTGTGGAAATGGAAAAAATTAATTATATTTTTTAGAGGTTTTCTTTGTACCTTCGTTTCTAAAAGCATGAATAATAAAATTAACAATAATAAGATGCTTTTTAATATGCTTCAATTAGAATAAAATAGCAGTATAATATTCTGGTTAAGTCAATTTTAATTATTCGTAATTTTTTTATATAAAATACATGAGAACAAATTAATATATGCCATATTTTGGCGTAATTTAGAGTATATACTACAAAATCGGGTTGTCTGGCAACCTTGGATACAATATTTAATCATATCAAATAATTATTTTTCTTTTTTAAGAAGTTTATAAATAGGTATGTTTTTCAATAATATAAATAAAAGTTAGATTGTCAAGTTGACGAAATTGCTGTATTTGGTGCTGTTTCCGAAACATTTTGCAAGTTTTAAATTTTTTTCATACATCTAAACAGTATTTTAAATTTATCCTTTTATTTTTAGCCAGAACTTTAGGAACTGGGACCAATCTAGGAACTGAATATAAAATTTTCAGGAACTGGTTTTGATAAAAAAGCAACTATTTATGCGTATATATTTGGAAATATGTGATTTAGTAGTTTGCAAAGTGATTTTTTTGCCGCCCGAGCCGAATTATAATAAAAAAAATTTTGTTATTCAAATTCATATAATTATATAATGAAAATAGCATTTTACAAAAATAACAATAAACAATTCAATACATAACAAAAATGACATGTTATTCTGATTGACATTTTAATGATGAAATATATTAGATAAAAAATGACGTTATTTTAATTGAAATGAATTAAAATGATTTTTTAGGCTATTTATATTTATTTATCGGGTTGCGCTTCGGGTTGGACACCTATTACAACCCGAGCACGAAAATAGTTTTTATGTCCAAGCTGGGGTCAGGCTATGGACAACCCGTTATGACCTCTAGTATGATTAAAGCCCTAGACGGGATGGGCTGCCTCGATTGAAGATTTTTTATAGCTCGACCCTAGACCCGAAAATTAAGTAATAGAAATATCCTTGATATTCAGTTTGTTGCATCAAAATGCCAATCAGAATTACATGCTATTTTTCATCTAACTCATTTAACTTATTTATTTACTTAATTTCCATTTTACAAATTAACAATTTTATGTACGCATAATTTTTAATTTTTGCTTAGATATTATAATATTTAAATTTATATTCCAAAAAATTTTAATTGGACTTGGGTCAGGCAAAAACAAAAATTTTGTGCTCGGGCTCGGACATAAATTTTTTTAAAATTCTGGCTTAGGTTAGGTTGCGAAAAAAATTTTGCAGAGCTATATGAGTGATTTCATGTTAGTGGAAATATTTTCAAATTTAGAAACCCGAACTGGAACTTTCTTAATAATCTAGCTTCTAAACTATGACTAAAATATTTTAATTAAAAATCTACTTTTATGTTGTTTATTATATTTAGAGATTGACGGGTGGCCCAAACTGGTTCATGGAAATTAAAAAAAAATTTTTTTTAGATTGACCAATAAATTTTTTCCCAGCCTGTATAATGATTTTATAGTCTAGTCTGGCTCATAATAATGTAGGTGAAAGTACCTAATTCTAAGCTTTAACAAAATTATAAGCTAGTCTCCCGAAGGGCTGGGCTAGCAGTAACAGCATCAATAAAATAATCAATAAAATATAAGTAGACTTTTCCTCAAAAAATATTAATGTTATATTTCCTTTTTTGATTGTATAAGCTAGTCTCCCGAAGGGCTGGGCTAGCAGTAACAGCATCAATAAAATATAAGTAGACTCTTCCTCAAAAAATATTAATGTTATATTTCCTTTTTTGACTGCTTGAATATATCGCAATTATAAAATGAGTTTGAAAATTAATAAAAATTTGAAAAAATAAAAGAGGCTAAAAATATTTACCATTCATTATTAATAGAGTATTATTTTGTAATAAATAGAAAAAAAAATATAAATGTAATAAAATTATCAAAGTTATTGCTGTATATTTAAATTTAATGCATACCATTAACATATAGAATAAAATAAATTATTCTTATCTTTTAGTTTTTATTTGGGGGAAGTCAAGACACAAAAAAATTAGCTAGCTCTAGGCGGGCTTGATCCAAAAAAATTGCACAGGTCTCTACTTCAGATCCTGCCTGCACAAATATTGTATACAAATTGTCCATACTAGTTATTTTATTTGGAGGTTGAGCTTTGGACAAGACCACACAATATTAATTTTAGATATTTTTGGTGAAATTTAAAATGATACTTTATTCGAAATTTTAATTTAAAATTTTATTTATATTTTCCAAAGAAAAAATATAAATTGTAGCATTGAAGATAGTTTCAAACGTTTTACTCCGGTAATTGAGGCAGCAAAAAAGGCCAATTTACGTGTACGCGGGTAATAAATTTTTATTTTTACATATTTATAATAAATTGATTTTTCAATATATTTATGATATAATTAATTTTAAAATAAATATAAAAAATTATCACATTCCCTTCAATATAGTTATTAGTTCGAATGCTCTAGATTTAATTAACTTTTCAATACCCAAATTACATACAAATGCTTCTATAAATTACAATAACTACGAAACTGTTTATTAGATTGGGTCTTTTTATTATTATTTCTAATCAATATTAATGCAAAAATTTTATTTTTGATAAATATCAATACTGGTTGTCAAAATTTGTGATTTTTTTAATTTAAATTGCCAATTAAACAAGTACTAATATTTTAATTAAAGAGTTATAGATCTGAACATTGTTTTTACCTTAGTATAATATTTCTTTGTAAGTAAGCATAATGCTTCAGGAGATCCGGTTAGTAAATTATTGAAAAAATTTATATTGATAGGTTATGAGTAACTTCATATTTTGTTAAATAAGCCGACTGTCAATTAAAAATTCGATAATCAATGAGTCGGAAATAAAATTATTCATTTTCTAAAACGAACACTGTTATTTCTCATTGAATGCCCTGATGCATTAGCCAAATTTAAATGTTCGCTAATAACCTTATTTAAAATTTGATTAATAATTTTCTGGCATGAGTATTTCACAAAAATTAACATTTTTAAAACTCCTTCTCTTCCATTTTTCTGATAGCATATAGTTTTTAAATTTTATTATGATAAATATGGTTTAATTAACTATTTTTCTGAGTATAAATCAATTGTTTATAACAAAATATTCACCAATTAAATAAGCAATCTAATCATTTTTAAAATGTTTGGTTATTTGACAAAATTTAAAAAAGGTTAATTATATCTAAATTAGATTAGTTTATTATTTAATTATTATTATACTTTCAATCATAGTATAATTCCAGCTACATCTAACCCGTTTTAATAAAATTATGTTTTCAGATGAAATAAAAAAAATTAATGTTGGTTAGTCTCTAGCCGGGCCATTTAATTCATAGTTAAACAATCAACAACTTCAGTGGAAAGTATTTTCATCATATGGAGTGTTTCAAACCTAGCATACGTTTACAATTAAATTCAAATACCAATGCTGATTACATAAAAAGTTGCAATGCACTGTCAAAGATAGGCTTAAAAAATCGATCTTTTAATTTTAACATCTAGATTTTGGGATATCATGATAATTCTATTATAAAATTTTAAAAAGCAAATTTAATATTATTTTTTAAATTGTATTGTAATTCTAAATTGATAAAATTATTTTTATGGTTATAATAGATTTTTTAAAATAATTTATTTTTACTTAATTTTGTAAGTTTTTATTTTTCTAGACTGCAAACCCTAAGCCCTTAATTTAACAAATTAATGTTTCTTTAGAATATTAAATAATTTCTCACTACATTAAGATTAGAATTATATAATTAGCAATTAATTAATGTCAACAACTGAAACAATAAAATACAAAATAAATCAAGTATTTTTATTTATGTATTAAGTAATGATTACTAGTACAATTTAGCATGTTTCATATGAAAATTTTTTAATTCTAAAATAATCCAGGTCTTTATCTTTCCATATATTATATATTTTGATCAAATTTAGTAAATAGCATTTTATTAAAAATATTGATTTAAATCACTGATTTTTTAGAAAAAAATCTGGGTGATTTTTATTAGCTAACGCTACTGATTTTTTTTTAACTCATAAATTTTTAAAAGGCTTTAATTTTGATACGAAAGAATATTTTGGGCTAAATATTGTTGTAATATGTTATTAAATAATAAGGTAATCAAATTTAGATGTTGATGATATTTTTAATATTTTTGACTATCTATATAATACCTCCTATAAGCCTATGACTTTATTAATATTGGATCAAATTTTAAAATAATTATAATTATGCTTAGATGAAATTTTATTTATATTACACCACAACTTCATATAATCTACCAATATTTTTTCCATAAAAATATAATTTTTATTAATATTAATTAAAAATTATATAAAAAACAGTGTTTGTTAAAAGCTACTCGCAAAAGTACTTTTCATTCCAAATAATAAGTCAGATGTCCTTTTTTTTTAGATTTAACATATTTAAAACTTTCATATTATAACAAATGTATGTATAATATTTTTAATTTATCTGTTATTTTTTTTTACATAGTGTTAATATTTAGCAGAGACCTGCAGGCGCTATTTTTTTAAAAGAAAAAATAAACCAGGGCCAGGTTTAAATGTTTTTTTAAAAAAATACTCGGGCCAGGCAGAATTTTAAATCGCCATTATTATCTGTAAAAAGTATAAATAAATAAAATAATTATGTATCAATTATCTTTTTTCCATTTTTTCGATCCTTAAAAAATATTTCAGGGCTATTCAAATTAATTATTCAACTTGTCATTATTTTACTTGATATTCAATCAAATTAAATGCAACAAAGATACACTTACATTCAAAATAAATACACTATAAGGGAAAAATTTATTTTAGATAAGTATCACTATCTCTTTTTCTCTCTCCCAAATTTAGACAATTACGTATGTTACCAGTGACAGAGCACGAAATGACTGAAACTTATATAAAAGACTATTAAACTACAAGAGATACACGAAATAAATAAATTACCTCCTCCAGCCAAATTGAAATTGCAGTTAGTCAAACACTACATTTACGACAAATGTGGAAATGCTAATTCAGATGTTACATCATTACCTGATAAATTTAATAAATATTTAAGGAATTAGATGATACATTTAAGATGGATGACCTGAGAGTAGTGATCGGCTCATCAGAGCGAAAACTGACAAAAGGGTTTTGACAATTTCGGCTTATAACACAAGTTGTGCGGAATTTTTCCACTTCTGGAAGAATTTTTGAAGTAAGAAGTAATCTTAAGCCTGAAAAGGTAGGTATGCTACTATTTCTTCATGATAAGTAAATCATTAGTATTCCTCATTCTTGCCTGTTGCTTTGTTAACTTTATAATAATTAGTATTTAATACTGTACAGTATTTAATAAATGAAATGGTTGCATTTATTATATTTACCTTGAGTTCTTAAATTTTTTTTATCCCCCTTTTAACTATTTTTTAAGTTGATTTTAAAATATATTTTTATGGTGCAATATATTATATTCTCAAAATATTATTTATATAATATTTTTTAAATGTTTAATTTATCATTTTTTTAATTATAATGTTGAAACTTTAAAATTTTATATTCTTTACATATAGTAAAACGGAAAATTTGTTGAAAATAAATATTACCAATAAAGATAATTGGCCGAGCCTGAAAATTATTTTTTTAAAAAAAATATCTGGGCAGGGCCAAATATTTTAAATCTCCATTATTAGCTATAAAAATTGAAAATAAATATAATATATTTTAAAAAAATAACGGGCAAGACCAGGTCGTGCAAATGGTATCTATGCAGGTATCTGATAATTCTTTATATTGCATTAAAATAAAATTTTTTATCTCTACTTTTATAGGTATTAAATGAAAAATTATATATTTTAATTTTTTTTTAAACTAAGGCCATAAAAAAAATTTACACACCTGGGCCAAAATTTTTTTTAAGAAATCCAGACCAGGCCATGCAAATGGGGCTTCTATAGATCTCTGATATTTAGTACTTCTCAAATTGTAAAGGAAAAGAAACAACCTTAACGATATTATAATTAGATAATTTTCTTCTAATCTAGTATTAAAGTAATATAGATTAATAATTATATTTCATATATTAATACATGGTTTGAATTTTTTTTAAGTAATTATATATAAAAAATATTAAAATATATAATTCAATAATATTTAATCCACAAGTTGGCTTTTATTACGAAAGATATATATAGTTTAATTGGTACATTTAACAGAAATTCGAAATATTTTAATATAAAAAGTGAAAATATCATGTTATTGGTAAATTTTAAACAATAATTTGTAGTTTCATATAGCCCCATCTATTTTATGCAAATAAAAATGCGAAGAGTCGATTACATCGTCAAGGTTTTCATATCTTATATTTATAAAAGGTCGCTAAATAAAAGGCAACAAAAAATTTTCAAAACCCCGGGTAAAGTAAAACTGGTAAACTGGAAGTTAGACTCAAATTGGCGCCTAATATTTTTTCTTATTATAGACCTTTAGAAATTATCTACAATTTGAGATAACATTTAAAAAATTTTGCAAATTCGAAAGTCACTATTTTTCGCACCTTTGTAGCGGTGTATCTCGAGTACCAGTTTTGCTAGCCAACTAAAAATAAACGGATTTCCGATTTTTTACCTATCTAAATAATTCCACAAATTTTAAACTTTTAAGAGGGTTCGGCAATCATCATCGATTTGATTACACTTACTTTCATAGAACATATTTACTAAAATAAAAATGCAATTTTTTATAGTAGACTTTTAAACTCATATTACATTACACGCTATCAGTTACGTATCCTGCATAATTGGATGTCCATATGAAGGACCCATTCATCCCCGCAAATCGGCATCTATCATATCACGAATGTTAACCATGGGATGTTACGAAGTTTCTCTTGGTGACACTATAGGCTCAGGCTCACCTGATTCTTGGCGTACCCTGATAAATATGTGCTATCAAGAATTTGGGATCCCTCTGTCTAAAATGGCCGTGCATTGCCATGATATATCAGGAGGGGCTGCGGCGATCGATAATATTGAGGCTGCCCTCGAAGTAAATAGATTAGTTAAATAAAAGCCTTATATATCACATTTTTAATACATTAATATCCTGGTTACAAACAATTTTTGACTTTAGGTCAAATAATCCAATACCCTTTCATTCTTTTGCAGATTAAAATCTTGCAAGTTACTAAAAATAAATTGAGCCAGGCCTTGATTTTTTTTGTCTCTTGTTAAAATAATTAGGATATCTGTGATTAGAACAAAGTAACTAGTAATTTATTAAATAAAATTACTTTGTAAATATCTGTCAAATTTTTTCAATTAAAATTTTGGGTTGAACTTCTGCCTTTTTTGGCCATTAAATTATGATTCTAATCCGGACACCCAGAGTGTAAAAAAGATTTCCTCATGTCATTCACCTCCGTTACCCTCGGATATACACAAAATCTATCTCCACCTACTTTCGGGTAAAGACGAACTTCTCGAATTTTCTTGGTTCTTCCAGTTAAGTTAATAAGTTTGATTTAGACTGTTTCGACTACCCCCTCCCCTCCCTCCCCACTTTTTATTCAACTTAAGTTTTTAAGGAAATAAGGAATTATTTATTTATGAATAAGATAAGTTTTTAATTCTAAATATTAATTTTAAAAAAATACCTGGGCCGGGCCTTATATTTTAAATTTAAATATTTTAAATTGCCATTATTTAAATTAAAAAGAAATTTAATATATTTTAAAAATGAATTCGGCTTGGACCAAAAAAATTTTTGAAAAAAAAATCCGGGTGAGGCTGTGCAAATCGTACCTCAGGTCTCTGACGAATATATTTGAAAATTTATTCAAGATGAATAATTTTAAATTTAATTGCATTTTATCTTTTTTTGCGAAATTTAAGATGGGTATAACTACAATTGACTCTTCAACAGGTGGTATAGGTGGGTGTCCATATGCTGACGGAATCGCAAGGGGAAATGTTCCTACCGAGGATGTTATTCATAAGCTAAATCAACTCCATCTAAACACAGTAAAATCAGACATAAATAATATATGTTTTTTTGTTGATAAATTATGCCATTTTCCTCTAATATTTTTTACTTTTTTTCGTAAAATATTCATAAGAAATTTAATTATATAAAAAACTTAATATTTATGACGAATTTAATTGAATTCTTGCACGACCCTTTCTTATTCCATGCTTTATAATCATATTGAAGTAGCCCGTCCTGGAATAACTTTAATTATAAGGAAATTTAGATAATTATCTATATTATATTGGCAGGGATATTGTATTGCCTAAGTCTTGCCATTACCTCACCCTAGCTGAAGAAAATAATCAACAAATTAAACAATTATAATTACGCCACGTTTAAAGATTGCATATTTTTTTCAAATATTTTTGTAAATACCGGTATCTTCAGATTCATATATAAGGCACATCTTATTTTATAAAATTATGTTATTTTTTTTTATTTTTCAAAATATATTTTTAATTTAAAATTATAATATATCTGAAATATATTCAACATTAAATTTAAGAAGCCATTTCGAAGATAATTTAAATATTAAAGAAAATGAGTTCGATTTTTTAAGAATGTATGGTCTCCTATTACTATTAGTATCAGGATCAACCTCACTCATTATACCTCATTCCATGTCTAAGAAAAAAATGAGTCCGCTAACAATCTTCGATTTTTTTAAAATTTGGTAAGCAAAGAAAGGTTAATTTAACTAAGAAATAACCAAAATTTTAGCTTCCTATCATTTATATTTTTGGAGATATTAGGGTTCAAAGTGGTAAAAATGTAGTATATTTACCTTTATCTGCCTTCATTCAATTAAGTATAGCTTAAAAACTACATAATTGTAAATGACAATATCAAAATTACGTACAAAGATGATAGTTTAAAAATTATTTTATTTTCCCAAAAGGGGCATCTTTGTATAAAATTACATATTAATCAGTTTTATAATAAAGGAAATTGTCAATCGATAAAAAAATATTTATTACATGATTCGTAATTTATCATAAAATTATTTGCCCATATAACATATTTAATGAATATTAATTAAATTTGTTCAATCAAGTTTAGAGTTTTTTAATATATTAATCCAATGTGTGTATATTTCATATGGCGACCTAAATATTAAAAATGATAGATATAATTTAAATTTTAAAAAATCTGATAAATAACTCGCATTAAAAAAATCTAATTTTTCGGTAGCGCATTTACTTTCTTATAATGACAGTGTATAGTTACGGCTAGCAACCGTTAACGGTGAAACTATTGTTAAGCTATGAGATTTTGGCAAGTAAAGAGTGTCGTCTATTCTTATAAATAAATTTCTTTTTTTGATTTTTTCCTAAAACAAACGCTAACCACCAATTCTAAGCATAAACACATTTATCGTGATATTTCTCCCATATATTTATTATATGATATATATTCGATGCTTTCTATTGAATTAGAATACATTTTTATTTTAAATTGATATAGACCTCTCGGAATCACAGTGTAAATTTTCTGTGTTCCACGTGTCTAATTTGTGAGAATCTTTCTGACTAGTTCTTCGTCATAATTTTTTTGAGTTATATATTTAAAATATATGCCATTATTATTATCTTTAGCGTATTTGTTCAATTCATATGATTTTTTTTACTGCTGTAAGTTAAGGTCCTTATAAATTTACCTTATTAACTAATCTTTTAACGGCGCCACCAATCCCATCACAACCACTTTTCCCGTGTGCTGTAGCAGAAAAATATCATTCCACCTGTACTCCATAACTTCATCAGGGTCATATATTTATAAAATTTTACCATTTTTATCCCGATATGTCAGAAATTTTTTATTAATGTTTTATTTAACTTAAATCAATAACATAACAATCACATGAGCAGAGGTAGAATTGCACTGGACTTAAGCATTTTACAGGTCTGTAAGTTAGAAAAATTGGTGTTCACAAGCGGAAGTTGTCAGTTTTGTTAGTTACATGACGGGATTTGAAGCTGAAGAGAGTAATTATAATTTAGATTTCCTTTTTTAATTTTTATTTTGTAGGAAAATTGCGGGGGGGGGGGGGTGATAAATCGTTATTAGAGGGGAATTCTTATTACACTTACATAATGAAATGATAGTATAAGAATTATTTCATTTTATAATTCTACTAGATTATCCAGGATAATAAAAAAATGCATTCATATTTTTATTCAAAATAAGAATGAGTTACGTCTAAGATAAGAAACATAAAATTGTAGAAAATGGATTATCTTAAAACATTGCAAAAGTATTATATCAAATTCGTATTTACAAGATCCCTTGAACTCCTTCAAATTAATATTTAATATTGATATATTATAACACAAATATAAATGCATATATTTTCCTACAAAGTTTATTAAATCTGTTTCATTAAAAGAAATTCAAGATAATCATTTAAGGCTCAACTAGAGGCCCGTGAAAAAATGTTTGGAGCTGGGCCAATTTATTGCTACGCCATTATATGCATTAATTAAAATATTTTTAAAACATATAATATTTCAGTTCATTTTTTTGTAAATAACAGGTCAATTTGCAAACATTTAGTTTAAAATATAATAAATTTAAATATTTAGATAAATATTTAAAAATAAAATATTCTTTATTAGATAATTAGAAAAATAATTTAATGATATGCCCCCTTTTGAAAATTTTTGATAATTATTACTCAAAAATACCTGGCGAGAGCTAGCTCCTTTTAGGTCTGAAGTGGAGGAGCGCCGCTCCACCGCTCCGTTAAATTTAATGTATAAAATAAATTTTTTTTTTAAATATTAATAATATTTGTTAATTAAAATTCAATAAAAATGAAATTTTATTTTATTTATATTTATCCATTATTAAATGTTTAGCCGAGTTTTATATTGGTTTTTCATCTAATCATTTTAAATATTAAACATCAAGTTTTCCTTTTTATATTAAAAATTTTTTGGAAAATCTTGTAAGTCATATTAATATTCATTTTATAGATATATAATAAAAAATAGTTTATTGGATTTAGAGATCATAGATGAAGAAATCGAATTTCCATTTCCATCATACAAAAAATATTTTAAACTTCTAAAAGATGTTCCAAATGATCAAACAAATTTAAGGGCAAAATGTCTTTTGTATTTATATAAATCTATTTAATTTTCTAAAGTGAGCAGCTTCAATTTAAAATAGCATTTAAAAGAAAAAAATCTTTCTTTTAAATGATTTGGAAGATTTTTTTGGATTCCATGAAATTGATCATCAGGAAGATAATATATTGGACAAATATTTTTTAAATAATGATACCAAAATTACTATTTTTGATAAATTCCCTGAATTAAAAGATATCTTTATAAAATACAATACCCCGCTTCCCTCTAGTGCTCCAGGAAATTTATTACTTTTAATGCTAATAAAAGGTTAGAAATATTTTGATATTTGATAAAAAAAAATAATATGATTTTGTTTCGTATACCTTCTAAAAAAATGAAAATCAAAGGAGCGGTTATGGAGTGGCACTCCATTACTTGGAGCGGGAGCTAACCTTTTAAAAATATAGTAGCGGGAGCGGGTAGCTCCTTTCGAGAAGGTGAGCGGGAGCAGGAACTAGCTACTTTTAAAAAGGAGCGTTAACAACTCTGCTTTATTTACAAATTAAAAATAATTATTTTTAATTTATGTAAACGTTAAGTATAAATTAATAATTACCACTATATAATAATGGTAAAAACAAACTAACTTGTTGAGGTCTCATTTCCCAAAAAATTACCCTGGAAGAATATTCCCCTTACCCAAAAACTTTTAAATTATATAAAATAGCTTTTATATACCATTATGGCAGTTTTATATGAAACTAATTTTTTAATCTTCTAACTAAACTAAAATTATAAATATTATTTTTTTTAAATTTCAATTACAATTTTTATTTAATAATATAATACAGGGTGTGGATGTTGATAAAGTCTTAGATGCCGGAAATTTTATCTGTAAAATTTTAAATATTCAAAATATATCTCGCTATGCTTCTCTTAAACATTGACGGTATTCAACTATGTAAAAGTCTAATATATTAATATAGTATTTATAATAGCTAATATTTATAATAGGCAATAATTATACATTTAAACATTATTTGCTATTTTAAATTAAACCCGTTTATTTACCATATTATGTGCTTAACAAGGTTGAATAAAATCCTTATATATGTAAGCAAAATTATGATATTTTTAATAGTAATAAATGTATTATATTTGTTAATATGGATTTCTTTTTTACAAATATGATTTATACTTTTAATGATTTTTTGGAGTGTGAATTGTGTGTAGACACTTACTTTAAGTTCACACTTTATGCTACTTATAACAGTATTTTATATGCTCTCTCATTTAACTGTCTATATAGGTATCTGTAACTAAAGATTAGTCTTATATAATTTTATTGTATATGTAATTTATTTAAAACATTATAGGCGTGTATATAATTTTCAATGTTCGTTTCGTTCGATGAAGCTAATTTTAACGATCTATATAAATTTGGAAATTTATTCTGAAGGTATTTGTAATAATCATCAGATGATCTATCTTCTTTAGTTATATCCTTGCATATTTTCATGATTATCATAAGACTTTTTTCAATTTTATCATAGATTGGCGAGGCATTAAATCTTTTTTGTAAATAATATATCAAATTTTCATTATCATACTGATTCCAAGATATCCATGGATACATTATCGATTTTTTAAACTTTTGACTTCTTAATATTACCTTTATATTAAAAATTAGATTCAAAATCAGGTAATTTCTTTTTAAAAGAAATATACTATCCAATTAATTCATGCCACAATTTATGATAAAATATTTAAATTGCTACAAGACATATTAAAAGCTATAGACATTAATTTGCCTCATTACAACAAACAAACAGCATAATATATTCACGTTTCCTAATAAACATTTACAGTTTTTCTCATTTAATACGTTATTTTAATGGATGGGAATTCTTTAATATTTTCTTTCAATTTGTAACACTCTTCCCAGGTTAGTATGTTTTTAGCTTATAAACGAAATTAATACTACAATAAAGAGATAATAGTGTTTGTAAGCGGCCGATTTGAAATGGAACGTTTTCTATAAACGTTTTAGGTTTTTGGCAAATTAATTATATAAGCCTCGAGATTTGACAAATAGAGGTAACCTTTCTGCCATTTATGAGCAAATCTATAAGGTTTATATAATATTATTTTAACCAAAATCCTAATCAAGTCGTTTAAAAAATTTGATCCGAATCGGGCCTGTTTAACAACACTAGAGAAAATTACTTAATAAATTAAAAAGGTTAGTTGACAAGGAAAAAAATACTTTGACAATAGAGGGGAAAAAAATTACCTGACATGGGTAAATATTTATTATAATCATTTATAAAAAATAAAGTAATTTAATTAACTTGCATATAAGTTACAAAAGATTTGACTTGATTATCATCAGAATTTTTAAAACCACTATCGTATTCTATATATAATAAGTGAATTACTGTGGCTATTATCTATAATATGAGTTAAATGTTAACACGAAGGATCATTATACTTGACTAGGTTTATATAATTGTAAATTATAGGATTGTATTTTTAAATTAACTGTTACATTGATAAAATAAAGGGAACTATTCTTCATCAAACCTTTGTTAACACTCAAAATATTATAATAGGCGTGATCATTCTAAACAAAATTAAAAAAATTAATAGTCAATATGAAGAGTTATATAACAACTAAGATTTATAATGGTTTCTCAAAAATTTGGCCCATTTTACAAAACAAGAATTACCGGGGATGGTTTTACCTTGGGACAGGTATTTTATTATCATTAATTTTCAAACTAATAAAATGAGATTTGAAATTATAACCTAAAATATATTCAATAAAGGATATTAATATTTATTCAAAAATTTTTACATTTTTATTCATATTTTTTTATATAACTGTTTTTCAGACTAAAGATCAATTCTAAATAATAAAGAGGTCTATTTAAACATAAAAATATTGATTATATTCATTAAAATTTAATAGCCATTAATTAAATTATAAATACAGAGCAGATTTGGCGAGGTACTTATTAACCTTTGAGATATTTATTTTTATTAAAATATGAAGCTCGTTAATTTAACATTTGACAATTTATTTTTAAATGAAACAAATAAAAAATTGCGAAAAGCTAAAATGTTTTGGATTTTTTTAAATAATATTTTATTTTTTTAGATTAATATTAAATAATATTTTTTTAAATATTAATTTTTACCATAGAAGATTAAAGAATAAAATTATTTAGAAATTGCTTCAGCTATTTAGGTGTTCAAAATTTAAATCTAGCCTCTGTCAATTATATAAAAAAAAACTAAGTTTAATGTAATATTTTTTTATTACCTATAATGAGTACATCAATATTTTAACATTAAACATACAAGTCTTGAATGTAGGGGTAAAAAGTATCGATTGTTTTTAGACCTTCATAAAACGGTAAATATTTTGGCCTTTTTTGTATTTAGGTTTTTATCTAAATTTTCATCTAATCTTCCAACTTTCATGTAACGTTTTTTCACATCATTTTTTAATTAAAATTATAATAACTCAATACCTGGTATACTAATCTTTGGTTGTATCTACGACGTAGACCTAACTTAATTTTCGTAAGCTAAACATTTATGTTTAGTAATTAATAAAACACTAACTCTCAACATGACTGATAAAATATTACATGAAATCTTAATGAGTAAAGTAAATATTTTTAGACATTTCACTTAAGTTTTTATATTCTAATTTTAATAAATTTAAAAAATAATCCATTGAATAAAATGCGCCAACACTTTAGTTAAAGCGCTTACAGGTATATAAGATAAATAATTGGCTTCGTTATAATCTAAATTATTCGTTTGATAGTAAAATGTTTAAACATATTTTAAGCCAATAAATACTATATAAAAAATGTTTTGCAATTACCTTAATTAGGGGTAGTTTTGAATTGATATCTAATCGATAAAAATTAAGCTACATATAATATTGTAACGAACCGATAGTTTTAGTTTTCTTGAGTAATATAATAGACAATAATGTTGCAACCGAAATAGTTGAATATATTATGAACCTTTTTATAAAGATTTTTCTAATATCTTGAATTAAATTCAATAATTAATGAAGCATTTGATATGGCATCTACTAACCTTTTAAGGAAATATTTTTTATTAACAATTTCATTATAATCCTCAAATGAATATATTTTTAATATTTTTGTTTGATATGCGTAAGTTTAGTTTGTAAAAAAAGGTTATTAGCTTTTATGAATTTCGCATGTTTATGCTATATTTATTATTAATATCTTTAGGCTCATTTATTCCACTTTATTAGCTTATATATTTTAAAATAAATGTATTTTTAAATAATAGTTTCAAAATTTATTTTATTAATTCTAAATCTACTTTTCTCAACTTTAAAAAAAATTTCCATAGCCCCCTAATTTGATAGCTTTTATTTTTACCTGTAAATAATAATTTTGTTAAATTAAAATTTCAATAAAAAGATACCGATCTCATAAATAATCACCAGGAAAAGTTTCCATATTACGAAATATAATGTATAAAAGTTTCATCAATTTTTTATATATTTTTTTTCAAATCCTATCACTTAATTTAGCAATTGTCAACTTCCTAATTTGTTGCAATTAATCCATTAGATCAGTGGAAAAAAATAAATAAACCCTCCAATTACAACTCTCGTGATTTAAAATTCATAGCCGAAAATTTAAACGTTAACTTTAGGAATCAACCTTCGTGCATTCCAAATTTTTCTTTCTAGTGGCAAAATTTTATCAGTATGACAGAAATTTTTTCACATTTTTATTATACGAAATTATTTTTAATGAAAGCCGTTAACAATATGATTTGTATGATAACTGAATTATTTTTTGATATAAATTTGATTAAGAAAAAATTTTGAAAAAGGCAAGCTCCGGCTATAGCCTAACATGAGATGGGCCCGCATCTACTCTTTTCAAAAAAAAGAGCATTTGAGTTTATTTTTTGTAATTTTTTTATCTAAATTTTCTAAAAAAAACGTCTGAATCATAATTTTTAATTTTGGGTCAAATTTTTAATGAAATTTTATTTAAAACACATGACGCATTTTAGGGTTATTAAGATTTCAAAATGCGACGTTATTTTGAGCGGTATATATTTTTTTTCATCTTTGTCGAATATTTTTTTAAATAAAAAGTATTTTTATAATTGTTAATATTTTTATTTATAAATTTAAACTGGAATATAAATATGTCTTTTTTTTGTCATGAAATTGAATGTCTTAAATTATTTCTTTAAAAATAACCATCTTGACTTGACCTTTTAGTTTGGGCTGATATTTAAAACTTTTAAAATGGGCTTCATGTCAATTCAGCGAAACTTTCATCGCGAGATGTTATACTGAACATAATATCACGATAATTGCTTATCGTGGTGTTTTGAAACATTTATTTTTATGATCATATTAATTGAATAATTTAAAAAAAAATAGGTACAAGATTGATCAATGATAGAGTTTTTAATTTTCTTTTAACTTTAATATATTTAATGAACTATTTGGTTTATAAATTTTTTTAGCTATTCTGTCCTATTCTTTTTTTCGGAAACTCAGTTTTTATTAACATTAAGTTTATTAGTATCCTTACGGGTTAAATTGATAGATATTTGGGTGCGCCAATATTTAAAGTCTAATGAGTACTTAATATTTAGACTGTCGCTTCTTCTGAGAGTATATTATTTTATTTTTAATTTTTTTTAAGGGATTAGGTGTTTTTATGATTGGTTAATATTTTTTAGAAATTTTTTAAAGTATTTTTTTTTAAAAAATGTTATATAAGATAACTTTTGATTGACTGGGTAAATTAAATATAAATATTATCAGACTTACTACTTCTAGGCTTTGGCCCCCACCAATCTCATCTTCAACTCATGATAATGTCGAAAAATGTCCTTCTACTTATAAACTTTGCTCCCCACCATTCTCATCTTCAACCTATGATAATGTCGAAATTACATTATCACATCGTTCTCATCTACATGATCAACCAAATAACTATAATGTTACAATCAAATCTTCACAACCTTTACAATATTCTCATCATTATTCCCACTTAACCCATCAATTTAATAACTCTAATGTCTAAAATAAATCTATCCTACCACTTCGAAAGTTTGGCCTCCTCCAACAAGATTAAGTAATAAAGCCACTATTCTCCCTAGTTATGACATAACCTATCTCGACACAACTTATCCCGGTAATTATAAAACCACAGATCAGTCTTCGCATTATTCTTATGTATCTGATTTACAATCCTCATGTTTTTGGCGCTTACTTGATCAACATTCAAGTATATCGAAAGTCACATCTCAATCTCCACATTATTCCCGTTTACACGACCAACACTCTGCTACATCGAAAACTCGGTTGCAGCTCAAGAAATGTACAACAAAGATCATCATTGGCCCAAATCTCAAATGATTCATCGGTAATTTGGTTTCCACACACAAGTTCCCGAAATGTACAACAAACCAATGGTCCGAACATCATATGATGATGAGATTACTCAACCAACGAAAGCTAAATTAGTTGAAATAATTAACAAACTGAAAAACCACAAAGCAAGTGGTTAGGATTTATTACATTGTGAATACTTGAAGACTGACCCCATGTTATGCTCGGAAATTCTCCTCCCAATTTTATCTAGGGTATGGCTTGAAAGGTTCTGTCCGAACGATTGGATCACAGCTATTTTAATAAATTTCCCAAAAACTAAAAATCCTAAATTTCTTGATGATTGGAGGGGAATATCACTAAATTCGGTGGTGTATAAGATCTTTGCAAATGTTATTCTAAATAGATTAAGACCGTTAGTGGAAACTCTTTATGTGAATTCATTAAGTGCGTTTAGGAAATGTTATAAATTAAATTGAATCAATTGTGATTTTAGTTTTAAATTTAATCAATTGCTTTAAGTAATAAATTAAATTTAAGCAATCGTGATATGTTAAAGATCAGAAGATACATTTGGTTATCGGTATTATACTCAATCACAGGTAAATTTAACTAACTTATGTCCTTTATTGAAATAATTATATCTTAAAGTAACATTAGACGGTTGTATTTGAAAGAATTTAAACAGTTTCCTACATCTATTCTATATCTCCTTATAATAATTTCTATCTCCTGCTAAATCAAACTATTCACTTTAGTTCCACTCATAAATTAGTTTTCCTGGGTACAAGGTTTGTCGGTATCCTGAGAAAAAAACCGGCATAATTATATGAAGGATAGGCCTTCTTATAATTCACGTTCGCTCATTTTGGGCAGGTCTATGACCAACGTGCAAGATAAGATATATAAATTTTTAACATGTTCATAATCGACTAGAACATATAAATTATGTCCACTATAAGGTCAATCACTCGCTTTTCTCAATCCTATTGATAGATTTAATCACGAAATTTGGTAATCCTAATATATCCTTCCGTACCCCTAAAGTCGAAAGACTGTGGCGGGATCTAAAGGCAATATAAAAGACATGCGAATCAAAATATTCATGAAGAGAATATATTTTTTTTCGAAAATTAATATTATATTTTATTAATGATTGATTTTAATATAATATGAGTAAAACTGCGTGAATTTTAATTTTTTTCACAGCAGCAGAGTTGTTAAAGTAGCTCGCTATCTTTTTTGGTAGCTATAGCTAATAGCCGCTACATTTTTTAAAATTATTTAATTTTTTAGGGCGCTACTTTTTTTAAAAGTAGCTAAGTAGCGCGCTACTTCGCTACTTTTAAAAAATATAATGAATGTAAGTATAAACATGAAAATTTAAATATAATATCATAATTAATTATAATTTATTATTTAATTTGGAAATTTAAATATATTTTCAATTTTTAATTTATATTTTCAATCTGTGTTAATAATCTAAAATGGCATCGCCCATGGATATCCAAATTCTTGAAAGTGATTCAGACATGGAAGATTCAATGGAAGAAAATGTACTTAATAACTCTAATAACGATTTCCCATTCCCTATATTTAAAAAAAATTTTAAATAAATATTAAAACAAAATCTGGATTCAAATTCCTGTGCTTAAAATGTAAAAAAAATATATCATCAAATCAATCGAGTAGCTATAACCTGAAGAAACACCTAAAGGTAAATTGTTATTTTTACATTATAATATTATTTATTTTATTAGACTGTTCACGCCAATTGCTATAAGGAAATAGGGAAACATATAAAAAATTTTGGTATAGGAGAATCTTCATTCAAAAAGACAAATACTATCCAAACCAAATTAACTGATAATAAACATGCCAATATTTCACAAAAATAGGCTGATAAAGTAATTGTTGATTTTATTATTGACACAGTTCAGCCATTGTCCTTGGTTGATAATCCATCATTTACTATGATGATTAAAACTTTATCCCCTGGCACAACAGTTTTATGTCGCCAGACACTTATGGATAAAATAGACGACAGAGTTATCAGATATATCTTATGTATGTACCACGGCAGATAGTTGGACACATAACAGAAGGTAAAAACTTATTTATATTTATAAATTGATCTGATTAAATATTTTTAGAGCTTCCTTGCCCTCAAGTGCTAGTGTCGAGAGAATATTTAGTAAAGCAAAGCTTATACTTTCTGATCGTCGCTCTAGACTTGGGGATGATAATATTGAAATGATATTATTATTAAAATGCAACAAATTAAAATAAATATTTATTTATATTGCTTATTTTTTTATAATCTAAACTAACTATATTTTTATATTTATAAATGTTGATTTTTATATATTATTTATTATACATTTACATTATAAAAATAAAAAAAATTTGTTTCTAAAAATTTTTTTATAAAAAGTAGCTTAAAAGTAGCTAATCGCGCGCTACTTTTTTTGACAAATAGCGAAAGCGGTAGCGCGCTACTTTTTTTGGCAAATAGCTATAGCGGTAGCGCGCTACTTTTAAAAATAGCGTTTAACAACTCTGCACAGCAGTACATTTTAAGCTATTACATCTAATAATTTAATTTACCTTTATCCTAGAGCCCACCTAGATGCCTACCCTTCAAAAAATTTGTAGGCCAAATGTACTTACCCTATTCTCTACCCATGTAGACTCTGTATGTTTGGCTACTAAGAGTAGTGTTAAGCTCTATATTGAGTTGACTCAATATATTAGCCAGAAAAATAGGCCTAAGACTCGAATTTTGGGTAATTAATGCCCAAACCTGTGTACCAGCTATGGATAAAATCGTAAGGCATGCATCATTTTTTTCTGGATAAGATATTAAATTAGCTGTTTTAAAAATTGGCTTAAAATTTAAAAATAATTTTGACCAAAATATAAGCATAAATTCAATGATATATATAATTTTAAAGCAATTGACAATAAATTTAATAGTTCCAATTTTTTTGCAGGTTTAAATAGAGGTTTTGTAATACTTCTAAAAAATTGACCCGATCCCGTTTTTTTAAATTAAGAAAATAAATTGTGAAACTTTGAATAAAAATCATATACTTTAATTAAAAAAATCGATTTAAATGAATATAATACAATTATATATACTAAATATGATCAAAATATTTTATATAGTGAAACACAAGGTTTTAATTATATCATTATCTCTAATAAATGAATGTTTTATTATAATTTTATCCTAAATTAAATTTATAACTATTAAATTTATTTTAGATTGTTTAATATTTCTCAAAAAATAATTTTGTTAAATAGATCAGATGTAATTTAGAATATTATCAAGATAGATAAGAAATTAGTGTCAAGGTATAAAATTAGCCACATTCCATTATCACTTCGTACCCAAGGTTTTAAAATTTAAAAAATATTTCGAGTTTAGAAATGTGTCGGCAATTATTATAATAATGTTGAGAATGGTTAACTAAAAAACAAATATAAACATTTTAAAATATTAGATATCTATTTGATTTTTAAGATATTTTCCATATTATTTTAAAACCAACCTCTAATAGAAAGAGGGAAGATGAGAAGAGGTGGGGTTCTAAAGATGTTTGATTTTGGGGGCACCAAACAATTGCTAGAAAACACTTAATTAATTTTTTTTTAAATTAAAGTTTTTAATGTGAAAGAATAAATATTACCTTGGAATTATGCAATATGACGGTAAATAATATTAGCTAAAATTAAAAATAATAAAACCATAAATTTATTGGTCAAAAAATGAAATTATAAAATTATAATTTTATACTATATTTAATTGACAGTTGCGGCTTATTATTTGACAAAATATTACATTAGCTCGACTTATCAATATATATTTTTTAAACAATTTCCTGACCGGGTCTCTTGAAGCATTAAATTTTTAATTGCATGGTAATATTATAGTAAAAAAATGATATATATATCTAAACATATACTTCTCTAAGTAAAAATTAGTATTTGATTAAAATCGATAAAAAAAATATCTTTGCCAATGATTTCGTTCACAATGATATAAGATAGATTTCTATTGAAAACGATTTACTTATCAATGATCGGGGCGGGCTTGGGACTGAAAAATGAATAAATTTTCGGTAAGGTTATTTTTATTTATTGAAGAATATAATTTTTTTTAAAGCTTATAATTAATCAATGAAGTTGTAATTAATTTTGACTCTTCACAATTGGCATACTTATATTGTTATTTAAGAAGCAATAGAGTACTTTAGAAATTATGTTTTTATTATTATTTTAATTCTAATAAAACTCAATATGTGATATAATATTCGTTACAGCACAACTTAAAAACGTTTATTTTATAAAGATTCTAGTTTAAACTTAAATGAAGTAAAATTTAAAAAAATATATTTTAAATTGTTTATTGAATAAATATTCTAATTCTTAATAGTTTTCCAATTAAAATGTTTAGATTCGTCGATATTAATAAATATGGAAGCCTATTTTTATTGTTATATAAAATAAAAAATATATCAAAAATAAACTATCACGATTATAAAATAATGCATAAAATAATTGCGTTTCATCGATTTTTTCGAAAAGTGGGATTTTTATAAGTTGAAGTAGCTTGTCTAAATATTGGATTTTCTCCCTAAATTTCAAATTTAAATAAATAAAAGATAATTAATTTAAATGATAGATAATAAAGGGCAAGAAATTATTTAAAACAAGATGGTCTGATTTCTGATAATATAATATAAGTCATGCGATATAAACATGCAAAAATAATCTAACCGAATTATAAATAAATCCTAAATATCTATATTTTGCCGCATTATGATATTTAAAAAAAAATTCAGACGTTATCGGTAAATAAATAAACCATTTTTGCAGAGATGCACCGATTAGAGGTCAACCATGTGCCAACCTAGATGAGTGGGCTAACATTTTTTAAGAATGGACGGGCGAGCAAAAAAAAACACAATTGGCGGGCTGGCTAAAATATTCCACTTTTATTTGTTATTTAAAATCATTTAAGTAAACAATAAAAAAAATATATACTCCATAATATTTCAACATTTTTAATATCAAAGTTTCGACTGAAGTTGTCGTCGAAAGAAATAAAGAAGTAAAAAAAATATATCGAAAGCATGTTGGATTTGATTTGCATGGAAGTATATAACTTCGACGATTTTACCAGTTTCCACAAAAAGAAAGATAATTCAAATCTGTATTAAATTATAACTGCAATGTTTGAAATAGATAGCATCCACGTTAAAATTAACTCACAACAGATGGATTTAATGTTGAGTTTCTGGTCTTTTTGCTTTAATTGTTATAGAGGAGAGCATCATATTAAAATCTTAAAGTAATAAGTTTTATTTTATATTAATAAGATTTTAAGTTAATTAGATTAGTTTACAATTTTATGAAACAATTTAAATTTTAAATGATTTTTTTCTTATTATTAACGGTTTCAGTTTTTATATAAAGATCTAGCTTGAGAAAGAGTTCAAACCGATATCCTACTTTGGTGGAAATGACAATAAAAAGATTTACCAAAGCTATCAAGATTCGCAAAAAATATATTGGCAATTCCAACTAATGCTCTGAACGAGGATTTAGCATACTGGAAGGTTTTTAGAGTAATTACGAACTTGTTTGAATCCAGAAATTGTAGATTCATTATTATTTTTGCATTAATTACAAATACTATCAATAAATATTAATTACACATTTTTTCATAAATATTTTATTTGATAAAATAACTTATCCGTAATTTAAATTCATTATTTTTATAAAAATTGGGGTGAAGCACAGAAACTGAATCATTTTTTTCATCAGATGATTAAAAAAAATGAAAGAATAGGCATATTTAATTTTATATGGGCCGGCGTGGGTTAAATTTTTTTTATAAATAATGGGCGGGCGGGCAAAAATTATAGACTAATGGGCGGGCGGGTATATATTTTTAAAAACCATGGGCAAATTTTTTAAATATTGGGCCGGTGAGCTATGGGCTAAAAACCTGCCCATTGCAAAGCTTTAGAACCGATATCACTTTTTCATAATTAATAGGCAAATTAAAACCTCTACCAAATCCCAATTTTAAAATTTATAATTCCAAGAACCATATTTTTATTAAATTTTCAGTAAAAAAATGTTTAATAAAAATAAAATTTGTTCGGATTTCTTTATGACTAATAATACAATCCACTAGTGATAGAGGTCATTCTTAAGAATAACACTCTTTCGTAAATTTCTTATAAAGATTGATGACGTCATAGGAGAAAAGATTTTAGAAACCAACATCTTTGACGAAGTTAAGGGATATTTAATTAAACTGAAAATGCATAGGTAAAATCTAAATTATGCAGGTGAAAGTTATTGTTATTATAATAAAATATATATAATTTAATAATTATATTTTATTAATTTATTAGAGACCTAAATTTTAGTAATTATATTAAAAATAATTAGAAGATAATTATCTGCATATTATATAAATTTTGGGTCAATTTTGAAAAATAAGACATTTTATGGTAATTATAATGTATATTTTTATATCAAAATCTTAAAATTTAGAAAAATTAATTATAGTAAAGAACTTATTTTTACTGGTGAATTAATTTATAATGAACTCATTTCACTGGTAAGGCAATTAAAATTATGGAGAAAAAAAATATGTTTATTGAAAAATCAATTAAAATACTGGGAAAAATAATATATTTACTGGTAAATGTATTAAAAAATACTGAAAAATGATAAAATTTCTAAAAATTTTTCTCATTAACATATTATTATTTATTCTGGTAAAATGAATAAAATACTGGTAATTTTGGTATTGTACTGAAAAAATATTTTAAAAAATATTGAAGAAATTAATTAATATATAAAATAATCAAAACAAAAAAATATTATTATATTATGAAGTGATTGAAAAAAAATATTTGAAAATTACATGAGTAAAGATATTTTCCTCCCTAACTTTAAAAATGATTTCAAAAAATTTAGAGAAAAGCAAAAAAAATTATATAATCTTTTTAAGGTCTTTAACTATTTTGATTATCAATTTAAGCCAAAAAACTTGTAATGTATTCTTCATAATAGTTAATTTCGCAACTAACAGTATTTTTTCTTAATAGTGTAGAATTAATTTTATTGATCAAATTTTTTTATCAATTCAATTACTCAATTTAGGCCATTTAATTTTTTTATGGGGATTAATTATCATTTACGGTCATTGATTTCCACCGGTTAAAATAAAAATATTAGTGCATCTCTAATTTTATGAAACTTTTTTTTTCTAAGCAGAATCATTGCTTATTATCGTAATATACATACATATATATTAAGTTTGAGTTATAAAATTTAATATCCCATTTTGCTAATGTAAGATGTTTTTGAAATTTGGCAAATTCCCGCCTATCGTGAATCATTGTCAAATGTTCCCATATCAAAAGAAATATCAACCCAAATAAAATTATACCAGCTATTATGGGGTAATACAATAGCTAATATTTTAGGGGGAGGCGGGCAAGCTTTTTAGAAATCAATATAGCCAATTATCAATTATAAAATAATGGAGATAATTAATAAACATTCTATAGAGGATAGGGATAAAATTGACATATAAGGGCATGATAACTTTATTATTACAACGGCAAAATATCGATAAATAAAATATAATTGGATCATGCAAAAATTAGAAAAAAGGTCTATTTAAATCATATGAATTTGTTATATATTTTTTTAATGGTTTAGATTTTATATGATCAAAGTTTTAAACGTGAGAATTTATTAATACAATTCTTATGCCCTTATTTATGTGATATCTTTATTGATATTAAAAAAGAATACCTTCGACAAATACAAGAAAATTATAAAATAAAAATGAATTTTAATTGCATGATTGCAATCTATAAGAATAACAAGATTTTTAAATGCATCAAAAAAAATTATCGAACATATCAGATTGTGTTGGCACATCTGGTATTATTTATTAAATACCAAATCGAAAAGTTTAGTAAAATAATATTGGACTTCCATTAAATTAATGTCTCGAATCTTAGGTAGTGAAAATCCTAAGAGAATTTTATGATAATACATGATTAATTTCAATTAACTCTTTAGATTAACAGCTTTTATAGAAAAAATGTTTTTCACTTTGCTTAGTCCAATCTAATTTTAAAATAGGCTTGGATTAGGAAAAATCTTAAAATTAGTTTCTTCTAACATATTTTAATGATAAACCCTATTATCTTGATATTGTTGAAATTTAAATTTAAAAGAAATATTGGTAATATATCTAAATCTTGTCTGTTAGTGTTGCAACTATATGATAGAATAAATTGATAAAAATTTTAATATTATAATTTAAGCCTAGGAAGGTCACTAAATAATTTTCACTTATTAAGTTGCTATATTAAGTTTAAATAATATTTCAAAATATGTTTGTAGTGAAATGTCGAGGATTGATAAGTGACAAGATAACATTTGTTAAGTTGAAATAAAAAAAATTTCATCGATTTGAAAAAAATTATTTGATTTAAATCATTGATTCTTATTTCCAAACTCTCATTAGAAAATATAGAACTTATGTGGTAGAATACTAAACAGAAAAATTTTGACTTTTAAATTATTTTTCATCAGAATATTCTTTATTAACAAGTTATAATTTAGTATGCGGATATGAAATTTAAAATAATTATTAGTATTTATGATTAAATGATTTGTAAAAGAGTTTTAGAAAATGAAATTTTAATATGTGTTTGTTTCTTTTATAATTTTTTTGATGAAAACGTTTTTATTATGATTGTATTGTATTCTTTTATTCCAATTTAATACCATGGTGATCAAATTAAAACTCTTTTTATTTATAAAAGTAGCCAAAAATATATTGAGAGTAGAAATTTTTTCAACCCCGTTTTGGAAAGATTTAAATTATATATATTAGTAGACTGCATGCAAAGAAAAATATTTTGAAGATTTTTTAAAAAAGTCGTTTTGATGCTAAACAAATCAACAATGGTGTTAAAATTTTACTGAATCCCATTTAGCATTTTCTTTATCCTTTTCAAACTTAGCAAACTCTCTAGTGTCGTGTAAATAAGTTATCAATTTCCAAATCAATAGAACGATTAAACCAATCATAATAATCCCAATGACGATCGGCAATATTATGGGCAAAAGGGCTGGAATGGGTGGACAAGCTAGTAGTAAATTTTTTAGTAATAATTATTAAAAAATGTAACTGTACTTAAAAGTTATAAATTAATAAGCAATTTAGAAAGGAAATATCGCATATATTTTTTTGTTTCATATTATATATAAGTAATATTTATTACCTTTGTTTTTTTGTACTTTTATGACTAAATTTCGATCTAAATCGTAATGATAATTAAAATAAAACGTGCAATCGTCATCGTCCTTAAATTGACACAACGTTGGATTTTCTTTATTGCCTCCTATTGAACCTTCAAAATTTATAAACATCTAGTTTAAGAAATTTGACAAATAATCTTATTATCTTCCAATAAATTGTGTGTAGCCTATTCAGACCGAAATCAAAGGGGACTGAGAAGAGCATGATAAGGGAATTATTAAAAATGATCTAAAATGCTTAAAATTTCTTAACCAAATCAAAATATTATATAAAAAATTAAAAAACCATTTTCTATTTATTTATTCCAATTAATTTAATAAATATGTAAATTCTAAAGAAGGAATGCAATTAAAAATGTAATTCTACAAAAATAAAGTGACTAAAAAATATATATTATCTTATTCAGGTGTGGAAACGTCTGCCCCCGTTGTTAGGTTCTTGTTGTAATATTCAAATAAGAAAAATGAATAAAAAAGATTTATTATTCAGATTAAATAAAGTTCAAGATTTTAAGTTTGTTGTTTAAACACTATGTAAATGAATAGTATAGAAAAGTATATATAATCGGGAATATTTTACTTGTAGGATGATTATAATTAATATTTTGCGAACTTAAATTTTAATTTATATTAATTTTAATTTTTTTTTATTTTGTTTATGTTTAATAAAGATTTAGTAACATAATTTAGTTCTAACTTTTTTTTATTTGACAACGGTTCTAATCTCCCAATCCTAAATTCTACTAGCGACAGTTCTCATTAATGTAAATTCTTAAAATAGACTTTAAAATTATTCGTATAGTAGGGTGTAAATAATAATTGGTTATATACTCTAAAGAAATTAAATTTTCATAAATGAAATATCATAACAATGACTATTTTAAAATTTAATTTAAATGGAATAAATCAATTTTTTTGATTTATATTTTATAAAACATAATTTTTATCAATTAACGTATAAGATATCAAAAAAATATTTAAACAAGTATCAGATCCTGCGGTAACAATAATAAAATAATTTCAAATCGATTGTAAGCCAAATATACAAACTATTCTAAATCGATTCTAAGCCAAATATACAAACTATTCTAAATAGCAACCATCAAATAAGAAAAATTAATCTGTCAGTTAATAATCTTTAATATATAACTATAATTAAATTTCGAAAATAAATTTAAAAATGATTCTTAATACATTTTAATATAAATGGATCCCTTATATTTATTTTATCGGTTCAGTAAAAAATATATAAAAAAACCTATCAAATCGTCCACTACGATTGGTGACAAATGTGAACATTTTTGATCGCAAGCAGTAGAGCCTTGATCAGGAAGGTTCGAGCCCAAGTTATTGGAGTCAAACAGGGGTCCACTCTTAAAAACAAGGCATTGAACACAAGCTCTGTTTTCGCTGCAGAGCCCGGGGCAGGTTGGACACTCTTCGCAAGTGGGACCACGGTAACGGTTCTCGTGATCGGAGGAAGAAGAAGCGGAAGGTGATGCATCGCATATGCACACACCACAATCACATACGCCTACGCCGTTGCAGAGTTTCTGGATAAAAAATGGAGAAATTATTTTAGATTTGGTACAACAAAATTAAAATGATCTATTTATAGCAAAAATGTGAGGAAAGGGAAATACTTATGGCAATGCTCTGGGAAATAAAGGGAGAAAATGAGAGGTCTCTTATGCACATTTTAATAAAAAAAAACCAAGAGAAGAGTTTAAAATTTATATTCCAAATAATTCAAACGAGAGAATAAACTAATTGATATCTTATATAATTGAAAATTAAATTTATGGTTTTAATAATAGAAATTAATTTTTATAGATGTGTAACCTGTTTTAATTTAGTAGAGCGCTCTATTCAATTTTTTAGGCCTAAAAAATTTTAAACTCGGCCCGAAATTTTATTTATTTTTAAGCCAGAACCAGAAATTTTTAATTTAAAAATATAAATTAAACGACTTTATAAAGTTAAAATAAAAATGGTCGTTTTATAATAATCTGAAGTGTTGGGGCTTCAGTGATGGGTAGAATGGTTGATGGCATGTCTCGATGATTTTTGGTATGCGTCATCTTCAGGGTTGTGCATTTGACTGGTCAAATACGTTTCGGTAAATTGACCGATATTTGACCGGTCAAATATGGTCAAATTAAAATATATGTTTTTTTAAGTTAATATTAACTTTTATTTGAGTAAAATGAATCTATAATATTCATTTTTTAAATTCATTGTCATTCATTAACTAAGAGTCTTGTTCTGATTCATATTCAATACATTTTCTATAATATTTTTTAATCAATTTTCCAGATGTCTTAGATCTTCAATCGATTTCTATTTTCATAAGAATATTAACCCAAATCGACCTATTTCTTTCTAAAGAAGAAGTAGAACTAGGAATTGTTAGTCTCTGGGCAGGGTAGACAATCTATTAACTTGAGGTCGGAATTGATTATTTCTGGAAATTACTAATTTCCACATAATTTGCTATATTAAACATGCTGTTTTTGCTTCTGAAATTAATTATATCACTTAAAATATTTTGGTCATCACTAACTTGTAAAATAGCTAATTCTTGAATTATATCACATACTTCATTAATTTCACTGCTAGTGAGTTCTCCTCTTGATATTGTGGACCCAAATAAGCAAACATTGTGATCACATGTATTTACATCATTTTTCCCTTTTTTAAACATATTTTTATTTCATTTTTCCTTTAAATTTTTTAGAGTATTGGACCGTATTTGACAGGTCAAATACTCCTCCGGTCAATTGACTGAATTTGACCGACTTGCCAACCCTGGTCATTTTAGATTAATAAAAGCAACTACAGCATATATTTTAAATTTTATTTAAAAAAAGAAAATAATTAAGTTATAATTTAAAACAAATTTTAAAACCAAAAAAAAATATTGTCTCTCTAAAATAAAAATTTACGCGCAATTATAAAATAAAATAAAATTGGCGCAACGTTTTTGCAAAACGGAGTTGTGTTAGTTTTTCTTACATAATTAGGGATAAAACCTACCCCTCTATACTTCTCGGAACTCTAATTATACTACTGGATGCAGGGCGATCTCCCGGACCTAAATATCGAACTTATATTTTCCGAATACCCTTTTAAAGACTAAAGTAAGCAAAACCCCTAAGTAAAAAGAAAACACAAAAACCATATGTTGACCTTAAAAGTATTTAAATCAAAACAAAAGAAAACTTTTAATTTTTATGTATTTAAGATAAGACAAAAGAAGGTCAAAAGAAAAACTTTATTTAATTTTTAGGTATTGAAGACAACCATGGAGGGATAAGAGCAAACTATTTTTAATGGAAGTTTTTAACATAATCAGATTTAAATTCTAATTATTATCTTATCTTAATAAAATAAATGACACTTTCTATCTTAAGCCTAATCGAAATTTTCCTTTAAAATTTTAAGAACGAACCTGGTCCGATTTTTGCTTAAACTTAAGCCTTAACCTGTATTTTTTAAATTTTTCAGATCCTAGTCTTGTCCAATTAGCGATGTTCCGATTTAGGATTCCGGCATTTAATGCTTTATTAATTTTGGCAGCATTTTTGTTCCCAAATCTTATTTATATGAGCACATGTGTTTTGGGCTATGAGAGAAGATGTGAGGAATAAAATCGATTTTTATGAAATTATGTTAAGTAATCGTTTGTTGTTAAACAAAAAAATCGAATCCTAATGTATAACAGTAAAAATAATATTATGATTGCTCTAATAAACTCTGGTTAATGATATCATAATTTAAATGAGCAAAAAAAATGTATTAAAAAAAATCAATTATTTTTACTATATTTTTTACCATTTTTAGTTAATATATTATATATATTAAAATCTACAAATAACTCTTCTAGTTATTTAAAAAAATTTTATGTATTGTTTATAATGAAATGTACTCATATTATTGGGAGAGGGTGGGGAGGGGAGGTAATTTTTTAACATTATAATAATATCTACATAACATAATTTTATTTTTATTCTACTCAATATCATAATATACTAGCAAAAAAATATCAAACAATCATTTTTAATTTTTATGGTATAAGTACGCCTGTGATTATAACGATAGCCTATCCATTATAGGTTCAAAATTTGTGCTCATTAGGTAAGAGTACATATTTTGCAGAGATTAATTTTACATTTTCTATTATAATATTAGGAAACTTTAAAACCCTATAATTTTTAAGAAATATACCCCGTTGCTGGAAATGCAGGAAGCGTTAGTTGAAGGACATTGGCAAGCTTCTCCGACCCAACCTGGAGCACACGCACAAGATCCACACTCACAAGTTCCGCGACCTCGACCTCCGCATATTTTTCCTTCGTAACGGTCGCAAGAAAAATTATCGCATTCACAAAATTCGCCACTGACTATTTCATTAGGGTTATCTCTTCATGAAAAAAAATATATAGCGACACATAAATATTGCAATAATCTGGGTTTAGGTCATTTTTTTATATTTATAGTTATATCGTCGCTAGATTATTGGAGTGGTCTAATTAATATTTGTAAAAAATTTTAACCTTATAAATGGATAAATGCTCTTTATAAACCTAATAATAGGAGCTTTCTATAAAAATTTATAAAAATAAAGATTAGATAGTTTCTGAGATATGAAGATTTAAAATTATTTCTACATTTATTTTAGTTTTCACTGAATTTCTGGTAAACTTTATAAACGATTATTATAAAGTTTTTAAATTTTTTTTAGAAACCTGGGCCAACATTCGCATACACCACAAACGCAATCCCCACGACCTGAACAAACGGGGCCTTTATCACTATCGCCTTCTTCGTCTATAAAATAAATATATCATAATATATAATTCTTTTCTTTTAATATAAAAGTATTTTATATACATAATAATATGAAATATAGTTGTAAAAACAACCGTTAATAAGTAAAATATAATGCAAGTTCTTAACCTAGGGAGGCACAGGGATCCAAACAGAACCTTTAAACTGGTTATTAGCCGTTATTATTTACAAAACCTAAAGCGAACCGTTAAAAATTTTATCACCCAAACTTGAACCTCTAAAAAGTATAAGAACCATTTTGAATCTTTTGATATACCAACTCTTTTAAAGTAAATTAAGAATCTATTTTGATTGTTGTTTCAGTAGTATTTTCAGATATTTTTGTATATTACTATTTGACTATGCTAACCACCGGTTAGAGTATGGAAGTGTTCTCAGTTATAGAATTATAGATATAATTTGACATAAGAAAATGTTTAAATTTAATTCCATATGGCTCAATGTTATTTTTTGGGGGAATAGAGATAAATTTTAAAAGATGTAGTATAATTTACATATTTTTAATAAGGTGCGATCTGCAAACAATATAAGTATTTAAATTAATATTTCAAAAATTATCTAGGTGCTGGCTTCTCTTCTAGACCCAAGATTTTAAAATAAAATTGCATATCATCGTAATTTATTATTAAATATATTAAACGTATAAAATATGTTATATTAGTAAATATAGAGATTGAAAACAATGAGGAAATATCAAATACAGTTGTGACATGGTTAGCAAATGAACATTCTACAAGCACATTAAAAAAAATGCCATGAAAAACGCCATTCGCAGGATATGAATGTTCTAAATTTTTAGAAAGAAAGAGGATCGACTCCGAATCTTTCCATGCTGGACAAAAAAATTCTTTATATTCCAGCAACTATCACAGCTAGTAAAAAGGGTTTCTCTACCGCTGGGTTGATGTTGAATTCAAGGAGACAATATGTCCAGCAAATTTAAATGAAATTGTTGTTATATATGAACTATAAAATTACAAAATAAAGCTTGAATTTATAATGTTTTCTTTTCAATAAAAATTTTAAAATATGCCGATATATCTTAAATGTATATTTTAATTTGATATTGCTGTTCTTAAATAAATAATTTTATAAATATATTATAAAAAATTTATGTTGGTGCGCCGATTTATAAAAAGATGCGTCACCGACTGCCGACAGTTTCGTCGGCGCACAAGTCTAGTTAAAACATAATCTTGCTAATAGTTTTTTATGTCATTATTTTAAAATCAGTGAGCGTTATCTATAGCAGTCCTTATTTTAATTATATATAAAATAATGTTTTTATCTTTATCAATTTCTTTTGTTTCATGTTTTTTATAGTCATATAGGCACTAATAAAGCTCAAAAAATTGGCATAGATTTTAGAATTAGTATTTCCAATTGTTCAATAATCCAGGGTACGCTACTAAGCTGGTTATTATTTTAACCTAAATTTAATTTATATCCAAATTTATTGATATAAGGTTAGGTAAAATTATAGATGTAAATATGCTGGCCACTTTTTTGATATTCTGAAAAACTGAATAAGTAATTAAACATTATGCCAATCTCCTCATCTATCTATTATATAAAAGATTTTACTTTGAACTTAAAATTTGTGAGTTTATATTGTATATTTATTTTAGCTGGGCCTATAGAAAACTTTAAGGCTGACTAGGTCCAGACAATAAATAAAAAACTTTTGTTAGAACATCCTTACAAAATCAGGTTCGATGCAATACTTATTACAAATTGACATCTTCATTAAAAATAAATATTATTATAACTACTGTATAAATAAACCAGGAAAACGTTGATCGAAAGGATCGGGATTAGGGGACGTGGTGTTAGAGTAATGATGGAATAATGAATTGCGTGGGTCAGACTTTCGCCGAAGGCAGAGTGGGGAAGGAGCCAAGCTCGGAGCGATCCCACCCTCTGACATCAGATGGGCAGAGGAGTCACATTCACAATTTCGACCGAATCTGTTTTCATGGCATCTGCAAGCGCCACATTCAAAGGTCCCATGACCCTCAGAACATTTAGGACTGTCGTATTCCTGCGTTTAAATATAAAAAAAAGAAACGAGAAATTAAGTTTGGACATATAAATATTCAAGACGATAATTTTGTCAGAAAAAAAAAGAAAACCAGTTTTTGTGTATTTTTAGTTCATTTTTATTTTGCAATATGAAATCATCAATGTGAATAAAATAAATTATTAAATAATAGGATTTAACTATAAGTTTTATGAGTAAAATTTTTGTAACATTAAATCCTTATATATTTGAATAATATATTTAAACGGCTTGTGGAGGAGCAGCACAGTCACATTCGCAAATGCTTTCTAGTTTAATGTTTAACTCTTCACCTATGCCTATGGGATTGATTCTCAAATCGAATATATTTTGGCCTTTTAAGCACGATTCTAATGTAACAGTCACATCAAATGTAACCTGGATTGATTGTCATATATGTTTTTGTATAAATAAAATGCTTCTATAAATTTAATAAACAATATAATCATAAATTTAAGTACTAATTTTTAAATATTCAAAAAATAAAATTTAAATTTTTTAGATGGACTAGCAAAAAATTACCGTATCCCCAACTTTTAGCCCTTCACATAATTTCGTTTTTTTTGATTTCGTGCCAAGACAGGAAGATTCATAAGAAACTGTTATATTAGGCAAAGCATTATCTTTCAATTCAACTTTTGATGTTATTTTCTGATTTAATGAAATTTTAAAAAAATATTTATTTTTCACTGTTACATATTTGAATAGATGAAATTAAAAAAATTTACTTTAAAGTAAAATAACAAGCTATCAAGGTCATTACCAATTAAATAAATAGAATCGTCATGTGTATAATAACTTATCTTATAAATTATAATAATTTGCCTTAACATTATAATAATTTGCCTTATAACATTTTAATAATTTACCTTATAAAAATTATAATATAAAGTAATATATAATTCAATAACCCTAAATTATATTTTAGCTCTTTCTTTTAAATTGTAATATAAATCTTATAAGTGTCTTCGAAGATAATGAAAGACGATACCATGTTCATGTCATATATTATAACATACTCTTTTTGATAATTGCATACTTAAATAGCTATAGGTATAAATAGTGAAAAAAGATTTGCAATATCTTAAGCAATCCGCAGTCAACAGAAAGCTAAGCCATCCCTTAAGCAAGATATATAATAACGAGATGGAACTCTGTATGTCATGATACTTAAAATCATATTATGAAAATACAAGTTTACCAGCATAGTAAACAAGAATTTAGCATATTGGCAGTGATAGATATAAGCATCATACACAAGTTACAGGACCGATTCTAGCTTTACCTATCGGAAAATTTTGGTGGGGTAGTTAAGAATTTTTTTAAAAATCATAGAACGAATATTTAAGTTATTTGAACAGACAATTGAAATATAAAAAGATTTTATTTGAAAAATGCTGCTGCAAAAAGCAAAGATCATTGTTTGCCATTTAATGTTGTATTTAATTTGGATGATTATGTGTATTTTAAAATCTCTAAACTGATTCATAAGAATGAGATATTAGATTAGTGATATAATGTTATTTTAAGTGGGTTTTAACTGATTAATATAAATTTAAAGCTTAATTAATTATAAGAACATTACAGCTGTTGGATAGCTGCTAAACGGTTTTTAACTGATTAATATAAATTTAAAGCTTAATTTGATTGAAAAAAATTCCAATTTGTTAATTAGCTTATACAAAATAAGTGGAAAGATTTTTTGGTCTTGGGATCCTCTGTCTCTATGTTTCTGCAATAATCATGTTTCAAGACCCCCCTTTTCAGGAACTTATTTCCAGTTAGTAAAACCGTTATATAGATTGATTCACTATTGTTTAAGTAGTGGATCCTATAAGGAACGCAAAAAACGGCTTCAACTTCAATTAATTAGTCAACATATTTGTATTTATAAAACTTTAAAGAAAATCTTCTTCCATTATTAGTAGCAGTCTTTTTGAGTGATGTTGGCCTATTAGATAATACCTGATATAAATCAGTTGGTTCTAAAAAAATATTTGAAATAAGAATAACTAAAAGATCTAAACTTTCCTTTACGTTTTTGGAGGTTCAGGCTCATTTCCCTTATTCTGAATCTTGAATCGTTATTACCTTCATCCACCAAATTAACCATTTATATTTTCTCGTTGTTCCTAATTAGAATTTGGAGTGCGGTTGGCGCTATTAGGTATTTCAGCAGACATGAATGAATAGTTTTTTGTTAAACTGAAGTGGTGTGAACAGCAATTATTTCTCTACAATTACGTACTACTCATATTTTCAATTTCTTTTTAAAAAGGTTGTAATGTGGTCAAAGTCGTTCAAAATTTTTCAGGAACGAAGATGAACAAAAAAAAATCCAGGCTGAGCTAAAAAAAATAAATCCTGGGTCAGACTTGAAAATACTCTTTTTTAAAAATTTTATACAGGGGCTGGACTGAAAATTTTCAAATCAGAAAATTTTGACCTATACAGGTTTCTGAATTAAATACCTGATCAATTGAAATATATTATGAACTGAAAAACAACAAATTAAAAATCAAATATTTTACATTGTAATTTTCTTTGACCAACTCAACAATATTTGACGAATCATTGGCTAATTGACCGACAGTCGAACCTTCTAAAATTTCACTAAATTTTTGATATATGGGCAATTGTTCGCCGGTGATTGCGAATATAATATTAACGGCTTTTTCCCTAACCTTTTGAATAATTTGACTGACCGAAGGATAATCCTAAACAATATTAAATCAAGTAGCATAAGATATAATTAACCTGTGTGGTGCTTTGTGTATAATAACCACTTGAATCTAAATGGCATTGGCCATCGTTAGGTTTAACAATACCACCTAACTTACCATCCCCTGCAAAATGAAAACTGGCATCGGTTGAAAATATCAATAAATTCCGAGCTTTTGGTCTCCATCCTATTTCATCGCGACAAACAATAGCCTAAAGATTTTTTAAGATTAAAATGTAACCCAATTAGATTATAATTTTTATTTTTAAATAGTAAATACAATATAGACCTGCATAATAGCGTCGAGGCCACCTTCTGGAGCATCTAAATTTCCAGAGACGAGAGCTGTTTTGATTTCATCGGCAAAACGATAAGTATCACTAGTTAGGCTTAAATGATTTTTGTAAGAGTAAGGGGCTGCACACCTTTCACAAGGGCGAGCCAATTTTTCAGGCACCACGCTCACATAGGGCATAACCACTTTATCTACGAAAGACCCAAAACCAACCCTGAAGTTAGAGGTTATATTTCTCATGCTTGTGCCTAAAGTTTTATGTTTGAATTTTATTTATAATCAGAGAAATTAAATTGGGTTGATTAATTTAATTTCTTAAATTTTTATTCAGACTTTCCATTTGACAAACCTTATAAAGGGTATATAAGTTGCTTTAAAGTGTGAAAAAAATATTTTGCATTAAATTTTTTATTTAACATGTTAGCAATACTTATTTTTGCCCATTTGCGTCAAAAAATATCTAATATATTTAAAAATACCGATTTGATAATTATCATTTTTCCAAGGAACATAGTCATTGATTTTATAAATTAACATCTTTACAATATAAATATTTTTACCCTTTTGTGTCAAAAAATTTCAAAAATATTAAGAAATAACGAATATGACAATTTTCATTTTTTTTTCTTTTTAACTTTCACCTTCTCTGGTGGTAAGCTCCTTCAATATCTCTCTCAACTTTATGTTATTTATTCATACTATCTCTTTTATCTAATTTATACTTCTTCATATTGGCTCTAACTTTATGGCCTTGGCCTTACTCTTTTACATTTTCCCATCACTTCCAAACAACCTTATTTCATATATAGTTTATAGGCATTCTCATTATTTGCCCATCTAAGTCTGTTCACCATTATCTTAGTCTTTATAGACACTACCTTTGAACTTCCTAGTATTTTTGTACTTCGCACCTTATCTTTTCTTGATACTCCAGCAATCATCCTCATCATTCTCATCTCCATAGTTTGTAGACTTCTCTCGTCTAATTCTTTGGTTGGTCATGTTTCCGAACTATATAGAATAGTTGGTTGTACTATGGAACTGTAAATTTTTCCCTTCAATTTGTGTAGGATTCTTTTGTCAAAGAGCACTCCAAATAAAGATCTCCACTTTAACCACCCTTGATTAATTTTGCTCTTTATCTCTTTCTCTATTGTGCAGTTTGTTTGTAGTGGAACCCAAATATTTGCAGCTTTCAATTGCGGATATCTGCCAATCATTTATATCAATGCTCTCTGTTTCATCTCCTCCTATAACCATATACTCCGTTCTTTTCTCTATTTACTTTTAATCCATGCTTTTCTAGAAAATTTATTCAACTCACTAATCTTTCTTTCATTTCATCCTTGGATTCGGCAAGTATCACAATATCATCTGCAAATATCATATTCCACGGGACTGTTTGAGGTATAGACTGTGCTAATACATCTATAATGAAGAGAAGTGGGCTGAGAGCCGACCTTTGATGAACTCCTTCGGCTATTGTGAAGCCTGCTGAAGTACCTGTTGAGCTACGGACCATTGTTGTATGACCCATATACATATCCTGTATTATTCTTATATATTTTTCGAGAACCTTTTTGTGGCGTAGCGCCCACCAGATAAGTTTTCTTGGCTATCGAAAGCCTTTTCTAGATCGAGAAAGACCATGTGTAGCTTTTTGTCAGGGTTTTACAAAAATCTTCAAATAAAAATTTGAAGATTTTTTTCGCCCAAAATTTTGAGGAAAAAATCTTTGAAGATCAATTTTTTGCGAAGATTTTTTCGCTAAAAAAAATTTTGAGCTTGCTCAAAGAAGATTTTTGAGCAAAATAAAAAATATTTTTTGTAAAAAAATCTTCTATAATTTTGAGAAAATATTTTGAGAATTTTATAATAAATAAAATCTTTTGTAAGAAAATCTTTATTAAAATATTTTTGAAATTTTGATCTTAAAATTTTTTGGTAAATTCTTTAAAAATAAAATTTTTGATATATATTTTTTTTTATTTTATTATGTTAATGAAAATATTTTTTTTGAATAGGTTGTAAATGTGAGAATTGGTCATAATACCGACTGCATTTTTTTTAATATTTGGAATAAGTAATAATGATTATTTTAAAAATGTAATGTCATAATTTTAATGTTTTATATTTAGTGTAAACTAAAAAAGTGACAATTGTCATAATACTCATCTCAGAACCTTTAAAAATAATTATAATTTAAAAAGGCTAGTTGAGCATGTTTTGAGATGGTTTCAGTGATTGTAAAGCATATAAAGGTGACAATTGTCATAATACTTATTTCACATATGTTTTAATTGGAAATAGAGAAAAATGATTATTTCAACATGAATTAATATAATGTGTAAACTATAAAAGTGACAATTGTCATAATATTCATAACAGAACCTATAAAAATAATTTTATTTTTAGGTATTAAATAGGCGAGAAAAAATTTTTTGAGCATGTTTCGAGATGGTTTTAATGATTGTAAAAATTGTCACAATCGTTATTTTTGAACTTTTTTAAAGCAAGTAGATAAAAATTTATTAAATATAAAATTAAATGTGGATGTACCATAGAGCAGTGACAATTGTCATAATCGTTATTTTTGAACTTTTTTGAATTTTTTTGAAGCAACAGAGTAAAATAATAAATTGTAAACATGTTAAATTGAAATTTAAATGTGGATGTACCATAGAAAAGTGACAATTGTCATAATCGTTATTTTTAATCTTTTTTGAATTTTTTTGAAGCAAAAGGGTAAAATTATATATTGTAAACATGTTAAATAAAAATTTCAGTGAAGATGTACCATAGAAATGTGACAATTATCATAATTGTTATCTTTGAACTTTTTTAAAGCAAATAGGTAAAAATATATATTGTAAACCTGTTAAATTAAAATATCAGTGAATATGTACCATAGAAAAGTGACAATTGTCATAATCGTTATTTTTAATCTTTTTTCATTTTTTTTGAAGAAATTATATATTGTAAACTTATTAAATTAAAATTTCATTGAAGATCTACCATAGAAAAGTGAAAATTGTCTTAATTTCATTTTTAATCCCTTTTAAATTTTTTTGAACTTACAGGGTAAAATAATAAATTGTAAACTTTTTAAATTTAAATGTGGATGTACTATAGATAAGTGACAATTGTCATAATGGCCATTTTTAATCTTTTTTGAATTTTTTTGAAGCAAAAGGGTAAAATAATAAATTATAAACATCATTAATTAAAATTTAAATGAGGATGTACCATAGAAATGTGACAATTGTCATAAACGTTTATTTTAATCTTTTTTGAATTTTTTTTAAGCAAAAGGGTAAAATTATATATTGTAAACATGTTAAATTAAAATTTCAGTGGAGATCTACCATAGAAAAGTGACAATTATCATTTTTAATTTTTTATTTAATTTTTTTGAACTTAAAGGGTAAAATAATAAATTGTACACATGTTAAATTAAAATTTCAGTGAATATGTACCATAGATAAGTGACATATCTAATTCTCAACTCCCTTTTGAAATTATTTTAATATATATATTTTGAAATTATCACATTACTCATAGTCATATCCATTATTTTTAAATTAGGTTAATATGATCTTGTTGGGAAACACTTAAACCTCTGGGCAGATGATAATAGTATCATATATGTTAAATTTTTAGAGCCAACCGGAACGGAGTTGAACTAGAAAGATGCATCAATATAAACATGATATTTTTGGGAACAACAAATTTAAAAATATTTTTTCTTTAATCTTTTAAATCAATTTTAGATCTTAGAAACTACTATTTGGATATATCTAGTAAAATACGCCCCCCTCTGATTATACTATTCATACAAAAAATCTAAATCAGTTATATATATGAATTTTTATTTATTAAAATTTCAATGTAAACAATAACTTTATAATGAAATAGGTTATATAAATAATTATTTAAAATATCACATTATTTAACAATGTACGATTAAGCTATATAATTAAAATATCATCAAGTATATCTTTGTCTAATCTTGTCCTTAGAGAGGTTACAGTTAGTGCCAATGCACTAAATGCTCTCTCAACTGAGATTTGGGTGCAAGGAGCAGCAAGAATTATTTGAGATAATTTAAATAATTCTGCATCTTGGTGTTTTTTTGAAACCCAATATTGCAAAATATCTTGTGAGGATGGCAATCTTTTGTTGTATAATAACGATTTTATTTTTAGCTTGATATCGCTATTACATAATTCATAAAATATAGGTCCCTTCTTGCAATCACGCTCAATGTAAAGGTCAAGTTTTGTTTTTTTATAATCACTAGTGGAAGGCATAACTAGAGTTGTATTTTCTTCATGAGGGTCAATAGCTTGCAATTGTTTCCAAGTTGCAAATATATGTTCCTAAAATAAAAAGATGTATATTATAAATTTATTAATTTACCCTGGCCAATATTTTATCTTCTTCCAAAGGATATTTTCCATTTTCATAATGGAATCTATGATCCATATATATCGCACTACGAAATGCGTCATTTTGAAAAAGATAGCTTTCTCTAATGTTTAAACATTCCAACATACTTTTAGATAAATTATTATCCATTTCCTCCAGCTCCATTTTGCATTCTAGCCATGAAGCAAAAAAATCACCTATTACAATATTACTTTTTTGTAATTTCATTGTGAATTTGTATAATGGGAAAAGGACTGATGTACCTAATAGGATAATATCAGAAGAATCGATTAAAAAATGCTCCTTTAGAATATCTTTGAGATTTTTTTTATTTTGCATTATATATAAAAAAAAAATTTTGTAATTTTTAATTTTAACTTTCTTGTTTTTTCCTTTTATTTTTATTTTCACTTGTTTATTATATTTTGAAATAAAAAATCAGGAATTAATGTTATATAAAATAAAAAAAATGAATAAAATAATTGTTTTATTGAGGCCAAATAAAACCCCCATTTATAAATTTGGATGGGATACATTTATTTAATGTTTTTTTTTATATTTATAAAAAATCAAATGTTAAATGAAGATATAAAAAATGCATTTTCTTTTCTTTTCGTTTTTCCCATTGTCTCTCTCTCTCCCTCCTTTATTTATTTTTATTTAATGTTTTGCCTTATGAATTAAAGAAAATAAAAATCTCAAAAAAATGAAATTTGCTGGTGCCAGCGAGGCGGCACCAGATTGAAAAAAAGTATTATATAATTTTTTTTTTAATTGAATTCAAATTTTTTTTTAATTTTCATTGCTGTAATGGTACCCA